GCAGGTGAGGGCGCAGCGGGCGCGGCGCTCCCCGGCGGGAGCGGAACGGCACCGGGGGACACGGAGGGCACGGGAGACACCTGGAGCTGGAGCCGCTCCTGGAGAGGGCGTGCGATGCCCGGCAGCAACCACGGGGAGTGTCGGGGCTCGGTGCTGGCTGCCTCAAGGGAGCAGCGGCTCCTTCCTGGAGCTTAACTTCCCCACCGGAGGGATCCTGGGCACGTCCTGCGCCTCTGCGGGCAGCTGAAGCGCTGAAGGGGGAAGGTCAGCGGTGGTGTCTGAGGTGACGATCGCGCATTCTGCTCCAGAAACGTCGGGGTTTGTGTCCCAGTCACCTGGCACGCAGCGGCCCCGGGGATTTCCCAAAATGATCCGGGGCGCTGAGGAGCGAGCTCGGTGCTCCTGGCCCCGGTCCTGCGCGCCAGCCGGTGCGGGGAGCCGATGATCTGTCCCTTCTCTCTCTCCTGCCTAGGAAGAGCCATTCTCCGACCCTGCGAGGCCTGTGTCCGTGTTCGGGGCTTCATGTGGGAATCACAGCAGAATGGATCGGTATCGATATTTCATCTTTAACCAGAGGAACATGGTCGTGCTGGGGATGCTCCAGATTGCCTTCAGCACCGTCTGTGTCACCAGTGGGTTCATAGATGGCATTTTCAGAACAGAGTCTCAGCTGGGCACAACCAGAGCTCCCATTTGGGCTGGCATGGTAAACTTCTACTATATTTTTTATGTTTTCTTTTGCAGTGTTTTTGGTGGTGGGGTTTTTTTTTTGTTGTTTTGTTTTGTTTTTTGTTTTTATTCCCACTGCTCATATTGGGGGTGGGAGGGAAGCCAAGATTTCTTGTCAGATCTTCCCTTGTTTCATGCTTTGAACTCAGTTAATAAAAACTTCCTTATAGTGATACAGGCAGAAGAGTGAAAGCAGACTTTCCTCTGAAGGAACTAAAGTAAATAGAATTCTGTCACTGTCGAGGCAGGATGAGAATGAGGAGACTCTGACTCAGAAGGCTGCTGAGAGTAAAACTCCATTTATTCAAAATACACCACTCTTTTATACAGAGCTTTGTGAGGGCCAACTCCATTGGTTCTGAAGTGAAAACAACCCACAGCATTGGTGCAGAGTGCTTGATGCACAGTGATAGAACTTAACTATAATCAATATGAAAAACAAGAGAGATAAAGAATTATTTACAGTCTTCTCCAGCTCTTTCCCAGGCTTCTGCCTGGCTAGAAACTCTCAGTTTCTCTCTTTGACTGAATCTGAGACCCACAGAATTCTGCTGGATAATGTAGAAAATGGGACATAGTGACAATTGATAGGTTGGGGTTTTTTTTGCAGAAGAATAGTGACCACAGAGAGGCCACCAAAGATTAGGAGGGGAACACCTCATCCTGTGTTCAGGTAGATTAACATCTGGGTGCTGATCTCTGTCCCACAGCACAGTGCCCCTAATTTTGGTACTGCAGTGAGGAGTGGGCAAGAGGTATCCCTGCTCCCTGGCATTCAGCACCTTGGTTTACCCTGCTGAGCCATGCTGCAAGGAAATTACACTGAAGATCTCTCTCCAGTGCAGAGGCTGCCTATGTCCTTTCATTAGTATCTTTCTTTCCTTTACAAGATGCATATGGACTTGGCAAAGCAACATGCATTTTTAGCACATTAAATCAGACTTATTCAATCAGTTTCATTATTTTGCCCGACATAAAGCTCTGGTCAGCTGTAGCAAGGTTGTGTGGGTAGCAAGTGGGCAAGATGCATGTCACCCATGTTCTGCATCCAGGAGATGTTACAGAGGAAAACAGAAGAAATGAGCAGTTCTCTTCCCATTTCTGATGCAGCAGTTACTCTGATCCAAGCCTTGAAAACACTTTTCATTACTCTGTGGTGGTTTGTCTTCTGAATCTGATACTAGTCTCTCAAGCTACCATCTCCTGTTGTGCTTTGCAGGTGATGGGAGTCCCAGGCGTGCTGGCTTTGTTCTCCTCGCAGAGGAAGAATCCAGTTCTTGTAAGCTAGAGGGGCAGATGGGTGTTTGTGTGTATGGGGCAGGGGCAAAATGTTGGGGCAATCAAAACCAGTTTGAGTAAGGAATGAGCTGACTGGTCCTCTTGCAGAATTAAGAGCTTATTTCTTTGAGTTATCTTCACAAAAGCTGCTGTCTTTATAACCAAGAGGAGGAAGCAGTGTTACCTTGCTTTCTGCTGCAGTAGACAGGGCCTAATAAAAAGCAAAACTCTGTAAAAACACTTCATCTCAATGCTTTTCTTTTGGTGGTCCTTCATGTTGTTAAGTGCTGTGTACACTAAAATATGAAATTAGTTAAGAGGTTTGCATTTCCTGGGTAGGTTTCTTTGGATGTGTAAACTCCAGGGGAGGATGTTGTATGCAAATTAGAGGTCTTTAAATAGCACCTCTCATTAATATTCAGGACTCAGCTGTAACTCAGAAACTCAATGTTATGAAAACCTCTGCTTTGGCCTCTAAGTGACTGTTGGTGCTGGGGCTGCTGCAGTGTTATGGTAGGTCAAAGGCTGCCTGCAATCTTCGTATTTGCCCAAGGACAGCTTTGATTCCTGGTCCCCTTCTTTTTCTCACTAAAATTCTCTGGCTGTCTAGGTGAATGTGCTGATAGTTGCTTCCATAATCTCTTGTGTTGCCATCTTCATTGTAATCATTTATAGCTCCTTCACACTGAACTATGGTGAAGAGGAGGAGCTGAGTTCTGCCCCAGTCCATGTTATCCATACTGTAAGTATTGATATCATGATTATTACTGGGGAACATGCCACCATTAATCTGCAAGCAGTGCCAGATGTGGCTTACAAACAGAACCAGACTTCTAGGAGGGGTGACACTAGGTCAGGTTGGCTGTTTTTGCTTCTTAGTGCAAAGGGGTGGTGTGGGATGAGCCATGAAAAAATACTGGTGCTGCTCAGGGAAAGGTGCTGAGAGTATTTGGTCTGGTTTGAGAAAGTGGTTGCAAGGCTTGGATCCTTCCAACAAGCACCTCAGGTGATGAAGTTACAGCAGCTACCAGGTCAGCTGGTTAAACCTGCTGTTAGTTCAAGTGTATCCTGCACAGTAAAGCTGTAGAGAAGGAATGAAGCCCTTTTGTATCTCCAGTCTACAAGTAATTGTTTGCTGTGGGAGTAAAGGCATTTCAGAGAGATGAAGCTGATCATTAGTTTATTGCAGGACAAATCAAAATGTCAGGCTGCTATAAGGTGCAGTGCAGCAAAACAATGTTTCTCATATTCAGTGTAAAGAAGAGCAGCCATTCCTTGAGTTTTTACTCTTTGTCAAAGCTATTTCCAAACCCAATGCCATTGCATAGCATCTCACATTTAATCAGCAGCCTTATTTCACTGCTTGCTCTGTTTGAGGTTCATACTTGGTTTGTTTTCCAGAACACGGAAAAATCTTAAATAACACCAACTACAGATCAATCTCCTATCATGCAATCACAGCATTCTTGCAGTTATTAGATTATTTTTTGGTGGAGAGTGTCACTTTTTGAATATGCCTTTACTATCTCTTGTTCTTGCAGAGGTTTATACTCAGTAAAGTTGTCAAGGGTGCTAACATAGCCATGCTGGCTGTGTCCATCTGCAGTGCCTTTTCTGTGTTGGCCATGGCTTACTTGGGATGCCGGAGCCTTCCATGCTGCTCCTGCTATGACAGTGTAACTGGGATGGTGAGTGAGGAGCCCAGGGCACAAGAAGTTTATTTCTTCTGATTATTGCTGGGAGGGGAAGAAACCAGGGAGAAGGTGTGTTTTTCTCCTATAAATTTAGTCTTAGCCTCTACCTCAGTCATGCAGGGCTAATTCTAAGAAACTAAGTGGGATATTAGAAGGGTTTTATATTTCTTATATTTTTTCCTTTAAAGGAAAAAATCTCCCTCTTATTTAGAGTCTCATGTAAGATCTAATATAAGTTATTTCTATTTTCCAAACCATTTGTGCTGAAGTTACTGTGGCCCCATTTCCCACAAATTCCTGCTATCCTCAAAAACTGTTCCACTCATCTTTAAGCCACCAGTTGCTTCTGATGCGGTGTTACAAAGACCTACTGGTACTTACACGCTGGAACTTCAATAATAAAAGTATCTCCAGTGCTGTGTGTGAAGTGTTGGGGTGCTGACATATGTAATTTACTCCTCATTCATAAGGACTCTGCCTCGAGTGATGGGGCCCAAGGCATGTCTGCTAAGTGAGCTCAGTAAATAAATAAATACCAACTGCTTTTTTACTAGAGCAATTAGGATGCTGTGTTATTTAACATGTACATCCAACCATTTGGTTTGGTAAGGAATTAAAGGGTGCAGGCCACTGGGCAGCTGTTCTGACTAAATACAGAGTGAGTAACATAAAGCTGCTTTAAATTTCCAAACTAAAACGTGTTAGGAGACATGGACTGCACAGACTTTTCAAATAAGTTCAGGTGTATCTTCTTGAACAAATTTCCAGTTGAGGTACTTGTGGTGCTGTTTTTTTCACAGGAATGGTTGCAGCCTAGTGAGGACCAAAATCAGGCTGTGGAAATGACTTGTGCAGTACAAAGTGAGTAACTTTTCTGCCTCCATGTAACTGGATGATCACCAGGGATGAGGAAGGGACGTTCTGAATAAGGTTTAAAATCCTGATAACCAAAAGGAACTCAGGATTTTGTGCAAACGTTTGTCTATACCATGTTTAATGGTTTTTGCCTTCTTTTCTCACACAGGCTATGGGAGGAGAATTTTTGACTTCACAGATCAGTTTCCCACCCAGGATGTAGATGCAGAAGAAGACACATCCAAACCTCCATCATATATCAGAATGACTTGAAAAAGTGGCCGAACGTTTTGTTCAAATTTGGCAAGAGATATGGAATAAGTTCTTTAAAGATGGTTATGCACTTTTCCTTGGCCCTTTGAAAAACACACACAGAGCAAACTAGTGAATACCCAGCACTGGGCAGAGATCACAGTGCAGAGGGAAAGATCTGCAGGTGATTTTGAACTTTCAGACTCTGTATAGTGAAAATACCTCATTACTTCTGGAAAGTGAGAGCATTTTTTCCTCTGGCCTAAATCATATCATTTCTCTAGAATTCATCATGCAATTTGTGCAGCATTGCTAGCCTTATGCATTTCAATATTAAATATAATTCCTTTTTCTTCAACTGCTATCTCGATTTTTCCCTCTTACTGCATGAATTATTGGGATGATAATGAAGGATGCCCTTCATCCTTGAGCTTCAGAGTGTTTTCCTTTTCTTCTTGATAGGAGTGGGGGCAGGTAAAGTTTTTTATATGAAACCTTAATAGCTCCATTCAAACCAACCTCTGTCAAAAGGTGGCTTCTGTGGGGTGTACATGTGTTAGTACAATTAGTTTTAGTGCTGAAGTGTAACTATAGAGTGTGGCAGGAACTGGAGTTGCAGTAGCTCCTCTTATGAAGTAACTTGAATACTCTAAATTCAGTTCAAATTTTTCTATTTTGACTTTGTAGATTGAAAATTTAAAATAAATCCTTATTTTAGGGCCTGTTTTGCTAAAATTTATTACAGATCTAGACAAAGGTGCTTTGTTGTATTTTCTCTAGGGGATATTTTGGTCCTCTAGACCAAGGAACTACAGCTTCCAGTCAGGTTGTGTCATCTCCTGAAGTACATAGAATTCCCATATGTACTTCGTGTTTCACTTTTAGGTGAACATCAAGTGTTTATCTTGCCTGCAGGCCTTGAGCAGGGAGTGGTAGATAACCCATGATACAGATTAACACAGCATTTGAACAGGGCCTGGAAAATCAGTTCCCATCTTGAGCAAGTGGGTAGTAGGGTAAGTCATACACACCATGAGGCATGGAACTCCAGGAATGATCTTGTATCAAACTTCTCTAATTGTAGCAAGTAAGATGCCTTTCACGGTCCCAAGAGAAAAGTTGTTCTTGATTTATATTTTTTTCTCTAAAGACTGAAGTTCTTTTCATAATGCTTGTAAAGGAACTCCAATACCTAAATGATTTTAAACTAAAGAGGGTGGGTTTAGACTAGGTTTTGGGAAGAAATTCTTTGCTGTAAGGGTGGTGACACACTGGCACAGATTGTCCAGAGGAGCTGTGTATGCCCAATATCACTGAAAGCTCCTGTGGTAGAGGGGTCAGGATGAGGTGATCTTTAAGGTCACTTCCAAACAATTCTATGGTTCTGTGGTGATTCTATGAAGCTGTTACAGCTTTTTTTCTAATCTGGAACAGAGAAATACTCTTAGCCACATATTGAGGAAGTCCCAGTGAACTCTGGCACCCCTCTGTGTGTAAGGGGCTTGCCAAGTGTATCTTTTGCTGACTTTAACCATTAAAATTATTAATGTCTGGGAATATCTTAGCTCAAGAGAGCAGCCCTAACCACTAGGCTCCCTCCACAGCCCTTCTCAGGTCATGTATTGCTTCCTCCACTGCCCAGCTTCAGCCAGAGGAGCTGTCCCCATCTTTGGGTACTTGGACCTGCAGGTCCTACTCTGGCAACTGGAGACTTAATTATGTGCCACAGTAGCCAAATTCTTCCTGACTTTGGCTCTAAATACCTTCATTACCTTGTATGCAGAGCCACAGAAGGGTTGAGGTTTGAAGGGATGTCTGGGGATCGCCTAGTCCAATCCCCTCCTATGCCAACCAAAACACAGCTGGTGTCTTGTTCATTTGAAGGTATTAATGTTTGAATTTCTTTAATATATTACTTCAAACGTTGTGATTCAAAATGGGATGCTGTGCTTTTTCCTCTGAAATAGTGCCTGCCAACAGGCATCAAAGCACTGGGTGTGACTGCTCTCCCTGTCCTCAGATGCTTCTGGCACAGCTCCACACCATCTGCAATGAAATGCTCGGGAGTTTCTTCTTGTTTAACACAAATTGCTGTTCTTGTACATTAAAAGTAAGTCAGACACCCTCAGAGGGTATTTAGCTCACTAATAGCTGAAAGCAGCGTGGGTCTGGTCACTCTAGACCGATTTTGCATTGCTACAATGCACTGCTCAGCCTCTGCATAATTTCTGGGAGTTATGGTCCCATTTGGAAGTGCTGTTTCATAACCAGTCATTGCAGTGTGATATACTGAGCATAATTCAACAGCATTTCATTGCTGGTTGAACAGAGCAACTTGCTTTTACTGTGAGTGTGCAGAGCAACATGTCACCAGTCCTTTTCCAAATGCTATGCTGTTTCCATCAGCTCAGGTACATAATTCCTGGGATGAGGGTGGCAGTGCCACCATGGCTGCTGCAGGTCAGGTCCTCCTGGCACAGCTCTGGGGCACAATCCAAGTACCCAGCCTGGCTTTAAAGCCTTTGATGTGGCATTTAGTGACAGGCGTGGCAGGTACCTGTTTGGCTGTGAAACAGCCTTAGCAGCACATACTGAAGTCTTAGGTGTAAAAGAGAAGTTTGCTCTATGCTGCTTCTGAATAAAAATGTATGCAATTGATTTATCAGCAGCTATAAGATGGCTTATTTCTTACACAGTCCTTCCAGTGGTGCAACTATTGCAGATCATTCATAGACACATGATTTCAACAATTCTTTCTACAAAAGTGGGAGTTTCCAGAGAAATGACAGCTGCAGAATGGAAATTGGTGGAAACTGATTATCAGTTTAATGTTTCTCCTCTTTGGTTAGTGTTGCAGAAAATATATTCCTAACTGCAGTTTCCAGTACTATATTTAGCAGCCCATTCCACATGTGAGGTACAGTACCTTCCCAGAGCTTGC